CTGAAACTAGATCAGGTTTATGGATAGCCAGGGAGCAGGAAAAGGATAATAGCTTCTCTTGACTTTTTACTAAATGTGAGGCACTGCCTTAAATATTATATATGCTCATTTAATACTCAGAAAAACTCTATGCAGTAGATGTATTATTTTCATTTTATAGATGAAGACAAATGAAAAAGAGAAGGTAAGAAAATTACCTAAGGTCATCCACCTAAGTAAAGGAGATTCAGACTTAGAATTGTCTGATTTCCAACTGTATTCTGAAACAGTGATTACCGACTGTTTGCGCCCCACTCCAGGCCTAAGGCATCAGAATCTCAGGAAGTGCAACAGAGATGTGTTTACTTTTTAAATAATCCATCAAGTGAGTTCAGTCTGCAATCACAAGAGGGAAGTCTTGTGTAAAGATTGACACAAAATGGCAGGAAACCTACTGGTTGGATCAAAGGATAAGCAACTGAAAGAGTAAGACAGTATTATGTTTTGCAAAGAGTACTGGACATGGCACCTGAATGCACATCCCTGTCCCGGGGAGTGAAGTGTTGTAGCGGAGGGACAGAGAGCAGGCCGGGAGGCCGGGGTGCTTGTCCCTGCTTCTTCACAAACTGGCCGTGTAAGTAGAGGCAAAAAGAAGGATGGGCTGGCAGCCTTGTAAAGCCCAGTGGAAGAGCTACAGTTCTGTGATTATCTAACATGTAAGAATTAGGTGTTCTTCCCTTCTATATATAAGGTGTTCAAATCCCTTCTATATATAAGACTCAGATATAATTATTGTAAAGTGTAGTCCTTGTTGTAAACAAAATTTTTGTGATGATTAACTACACAAAGTAATTGCCAAAATTACTCCCTTCCAATCTGTTCTGCACACTTCATTCAACACAATCACTACTAAATATGAATGTCTTCATACCACCTCCCTGCTTTACACCACTAACACTGCATTTAGGGTACAGACACAGATTCTCAGCATGACCTACAAAGTCCAGCAGTGTCTACCCATATCTGCTTCTCCAGTTTTATGTTGTATCATCCTGCATTTCCAGTCCAGCCACAGCAGCCTACTATTAATTTCTCATATATGCACCATGCTTCCATTTGCCACCCAGAAGTTCTCAGGCTGTTTTTCCATGTGTAGATGTCCTTCTCATACCTGGATGATTTTTGCCACCTTCCAGATCTTGGTTCATTCTCACTTAATCCAGGAAACCTCCCTGACTTTCTTATTCAGATCTTCTTTCCTGTTATACATGCTCATGCCCTGTATTTCTCATTCATGGCATTGATCATTGTTACCATTTACATTTGATTATGTAGCCGTTTGATTAGTATGTGTTTCCCCTACTGAAATATAAACCTCCTAAGGAAAAAGGCATTTTCTGTTTTTAGTTCACTACTGAACGCCTAGTGCCTTGTGATATGTGCATATCACAATAAATGTATTGATGAATAATGTAAGAGGAAGGGATTACACTTTCTACGGAAGTACAGAAGAGAATATTTACAGAAAGGATGTGATACAGTGACCTTATGGCAATAAGTTAATTTTAAATAGGGCTTGCATTTTTTAGACCTGTTTTACTTTTTCACAAAAGTCCTATGAGCTAGGATTATTACATTGTACCATATCGTATTAACTTTACAGATAAGAAAATTTTATTTCTCTCAGCTTTACAGAGAAGGACTGATAACTAGATCAAAATGAAGAGCTGTTAAGTAGCAGATTTAAGATAAGAGACCACGTATTTGCGATTTTAGGAAAATAGCCATGTAGTTGTTCTACCCAGATGTTACATTCTTTTATAACTTGCTTCAAATGGCATATTGTCTACAGAGCTGTCTTAATTTTTGTATAGGACTGAACTTATAGTTCAGGCTGCTATTAACGAAGTCCCATAGACTATGTGGCTTAAACAACAAACATCTCTCAGTTCTGGAGGCTCAGAAATCCAAGATTAAAGTGCCAGCAGATTTTCTTGTTTGCGTATGGCCACCACCTTGCTGGTCCCTTACAGGGGCACAGATACCATAGTGGGGGCTCTATGCCCGAGCTCTTACCTAAACTTACTTACCTCCCAAAGGCTCCACCTTCAAATATATTAGGTTTCAACATATGAATTTTGGGGGAGGCACAAGCATTGAGTCCATAGCAAGGACTAAGCTAAGCTATGTTGTATTTATAGATACTCACCTAATATATACTGATAGTGAAAAGTCTCTTGTGGAAGTCTCAGTTGTATTTTAGAGACCTTGATAGGTAGAATTTGAAATGTGAAAGTAACACTGCCATCTAGTGACAACGAACCTGAATGAAACTTGAAATCTAAGGTTAAGCCCCTGGGAATGGGAAAAGAAGTTATTCAGAGAGTGGGCCAGGTACCTAACTTGGGGCAGCCATTTCTTCTTGTGAATATTTGGGGTAGCTGATTCTTATGAAGGTGATGAATTAATGATGACTAAGCTACATGCTCTTAGCTGTAGAATACTACCCATGTAGTCAGTAGATCAAGTGGTCTCCTATGATTGTGCCTCTTGTCTGGTATCTATCTCCATTTTCCTTAGGACTGAGGAGTTTAATACTCTGATAACCTAATAAAAAGGAATTTTCACCTTAGTTTAAAGAACTAAGTATATTCAGGAATAAACATATATGAGGAAATAAATCCTTGGTAAAATTTCAAATTAAAATTTGCAGCATTGTAAGAAGTGGAATGCCAAAATCAACCCCATCTACCCCAAGGGGACACTTACAGCCACTTTGAATTAAATGACCCTGTGATTAAAGAAAACTGAGAAGTGAAACACTTCTAGACTTATAACAAAGGGTTGGAAAATGAAAAGTATAAGAATTTCTTTTAAAGCATTGAACCACAGGGAAATTTGGAAAATGTATCTGTATTTCTTAATTTGTATCCCTGAATTTATATGATAGATTTTAGCTGGTATATTTTAGTGAATTATTATCCTGGTACATTAAAATTGTAAACTGAGCTAAAATTTTCTTATCATGTGCTGATGCCAGATCAAAAGAGGTGACAACTACTCTGCCTCTCTGGAGGTCTGAACAGCAAAAACACTGTCACTACGAAATGATAATAATATTGCTGATTGAGGTGAAAAAATTGTTTTTAACATTTTTTTTTAGATAGTCCTGAGAGGACTATTTCCATTTTATGACGGATTGTTTGTCCACTTACTGGTATATTCATTGAACTATATCCCTAAGGTGTTCTAACTCATTGTGTAGAAATAGCCGAACTGGAAAAATTAATTGCTTTTTATACAAGGCATGAAAATTATTGCCTTTATGACATAACTTATTATCCTGTCTCCTCTTAAGGAACAATATTTCATGTGCTGACAATAAACACTGTGTAACAGAGTTGCTATTTTGCCAAGAGTTAAATTGGAAATCTCAAGGGCATGAATGATTTTATAAGAAAAACATGTAACTTACACATAATTCTTTTTTTTAAAATTTTTTATTAAGGTACGATTGATATACACCCTTATGAAGGTTTCACATGAATAAACAATATGGTTACTACATTTACCCATATTATCAAGTCCCCACCCATACCCCAATGCAGTCACTGTTCATCAGTGCAGCAAGATGCCGCAGATTCCCTATGTGCCTTCTCTGTGCTACTCTGTTCTCCCCGTGATCCCCCACACCATGTGTACTAAACATAATACCCCTCAGTCCCCTTCTCCCTCCCTCCCCACCCACCCTCCCACACCCCTCCCCTTTGGTAACTACTGTTCATTCTTGGAGTCTCTGAGTCTGCTGCCATTTTGTTCCTTCAGTTTTGCTTCATTTGGCACTTACGTTCTCCACCTGGCTTATTTCACTGAGCATAATGTCCTCCAGCTCCATCCATGTTGTTGCAAATGGTAGGATTTGTTTCTTTCTTATGGCTGAATAGTATTCCATGTGTATATGTACCACCTCTTCTTTATCCATTCATCTACTGATGGACACTTAGGTTGCTTCCATATCTTGGCTATTGTAAAAAGTGCTGCAATAAACATAGGGGTGCATATGTCTTTTCAAATCTGAGAAGTTGTATTCTTTGGGTAAATTCCAAGGATTGAGATTCCTTTGTCAAATGGTATTTCTATTTTTAGTTTTTTGAGGAACCTCCATATTGCTTTCTACAATGGTTGAACTAGCTTACATTCCCACTAGCAGACTTACACATAATTCTTAATCAATATCCTGAAAATATAGTTTTATGTTTATTTCAGGACAAGAGTAGAGATCTGACCTCACCTCTTGTTTTCATGTGATATACTGTTCTTATGAAGAGTATGGATAGCTCCAGACAATATCCAATGACAGACTAGCAAGAGTTTGATTTAAAGTTAGTTGCCAAAAAGTATTGCATCAATACTGAAGAGGACTGATTCTTTGGAAAATATGATTAGCTTTATAGGATGACAGCTGATCTGAGATCTCTCCTACCTTTGAGTCCGGGAAGAACTCCAGAAGAGCAATGCATATGATAAAACCCAAAAGATAGAGTTAGTATGGAGGAGAGCTTGAAAGCAGATGGTGGCATAGAAGGGAGTGTGCGGAGGCTCTGAATATTCTAGAGAGAACACATATGAAAAGGCTTTGTTTGGTGTTCTTTGTACCTAATCTGTGAACAAAGGATTCAGCACAGCAGTGTCCAGGAGCAGAAGAGACTGAGGCTCCCTAGGGTTCTTAACACCCAGAGTAGGAGAATGGGTGCAGAACCAGAAACTGACCCGGAAGAATGTGCTCAGGTGATCAGAACACAGGTAGAAACAGAGGAGCCAAGTTTTATGGCAGTGCAGAGCGGAAAGAGACCTGTTTCTCTTCGGGGCTTTCAGGGAGAGGAAAGTGGAGGGCTGTTCAGGACTCTTGAAGGACTTGGCCTTTGCCATAACCATTCACAGTGGAGCAGGGTGAGGTCTTCAGCATGTTTCAGTTTACTTGTGTCCTTGACTGCGTTTTGACGCTTGCCTTATTTGTTCAGCTAGGATTGTGTCTAAGCAGAGCCTCTGCATCTGTTCTTAACCTCAACTGCAGCCTCATCCTTTTACCCATGTGCCGGACACTCCTGGCTTACCTTCGAGGATCCCAGAAGGTAAGAAAAAAAAAATCCTGATGTAAAAACCAAGTGTACCAGTGGCATGTTAGTCCTACTTAGGTTCGATGGTCTTTCCTTGAGAGGAGTTCTTCAAAGGTGATAGTAAAGACCACTTCACCTGTCAGGATGACCAGTGAGGAGCTCCGCCACACGAGATAAGGGCAGCGGATAATAGAAATAGTTACTAATAGTGGCATCAGGCACTGTGCGTAGCTTTTCGCATATGTAATTGTGCATCCTCAGAATGATGCCACAGCTGTTGCCGAGGAACAACCGGAGGCACGGAGAGTAGAAGTAATTTGACCAAAATCATGAGACTCGTGAGTGGCAGAGCTAAGATCAGCCCCAGTTCTGAGCTCTTTCCACTATGCCGTGCCTCAGAGAGATCTTGTATTTTCATTTCGTTAAGGCCAGGTGAGAACACTAGAGCCCTGTAGAGTCTGAGCAAGATGGGGGATGACTACTGGTGTTGGCGGCAGTTTATGGCCTCTTAAAACACACACCTGTTTCGAGCTGTGTAATAGGCTTGGAAAACATATTTTGATTAAGATGCAATGCCATGTGTGATATTTTGTGTTGTGAAAGGAGGATGTAAGAAAACAGGAAAGCACTTTGAAAGGAAAAACTCAAGTGGGTTCTTTTGTCTCTGATTATCTTGTATGTGTGTGTGTGTGTGTGTGTGTGTGTGTATGTTCATTCCCCATTCCTTTGCTGGATCAGTACTGATATTTTAAAAGGAGTGGTTAACATGTGCCCACTTTGGTGTGAAGTTCCTGAGCGTGAATTTACTGCGGCAAAACTCAACTTTTACACATGATTATATTTGGGAACTTTTTACTTTGATGCAGTAATTTGTGGAAATAACACTTTCTCTAGATTGCCCACTGTTGCAAAATGCTGGGGTTTGATCCCTGTGGCTGGCCATTGGCTTGGCATGAAGAAAATGAAGAAAATGGCAGGAAATGAAAAGTGTCCACTTAAGTCTCTCAGTATTTAATAGGTCTTAAAGAATTGTCCCCTAGTGTGAAACAGGTATTCAAAAGTGCTTGCCATTTTATTTTTCTGTAAGATCCAGCAGGCGTTTAAAACCATAGATGAAAATTGCTTCACTTAAAAATAATCTTAACTTTCAACTACAAAGAAGTCATTTATATTTTAAAATTTAAACATTCCAGAAATATGGAAAGTAATCAGTGAAGGTTTTCCCTAATATTACTCTGCCAGAACAATCATTCATTACAGTTAGGGTGAATGCCAGCAAATAAGTGAACATACAATCACATTAATTTATAAAAAATAAGATCATAGTGTAGTTTATGTGTTATGACTTCTTTACTGAACAGGAGTTCTCACTCATCTTTCCATTTTAATAATAAGACTTCTCACATTCTCTTTGAAGGTTTGAATGTTCCATTGCCTAGATATATTATAATTCATCTTACCAATTTTTAATTCATAGGCCACTGCCACATTTCCAGAACTTTGATACTATAAACAATGTTATAGTGAAAAACTTGGCACATATATTTTATTTGCTGTGTCGTTTTCACTGTATGAAATGATTTTTATTTAGGTTCCAAGCAGGAGAACGAGAAGATTGTTGGATAAAAGCAGGACATTCCATATAACCTGCGGTGTTACGATTTGTATTTTCTCAGGTGAGGAAACTAAAAGATGTTAAAATTATGTTAGAATAACACATTTTACGAGTGGTGTTTTTTATTGTTCTAAAATTATTTACTGTCACCAACTGGTGATTTTTCTTAATTTTCTTTTCTATGTTTAAAGAGAGCTATCTAGTGGTGCTACAGAAAATGGATGTGTATATATATTTTACATTATAATATGCAGAGGTTGGCCCTCCAGCTGGGAATGATTGCTTCCTAAAAGTAAATAATTTCATTCAGAAAGATTGGAAGAAGGAGACTAAAAGTTTTTAATCTCTAAAAACAGTGATATGGTAGGAGTTTAAATGCATGAAAATTAGAATGTGAAATGTACACTCATGGAATATGAGTTCATCCAAAATGAAATTTGATAAATAAGCATGCATTCCAGAGGGTTTGCATTAACACTTGGGTAGAAGAGCAAATGTTAAATATTTGTAGAAATTTATCCTGCTCTATTTCAAAGTCAAAACATCAAGTGTGAATCTTTGGAGTTGTTTTGAGTCATTTTAGAATAAATTTTTATCCTAAGCATTTATACGATCCTTTTCAAATTTTTGGAGCAGAAAGTAGTAAACCCTGATAGGTACATAAACCTGGGGACTTAACTCTGCAGGATCTCTACCCAATCGCCTTTCTGCCTTATTGTATGGTGTAACTTCTGATCTACCATTTGTTGTTTTAACTGTGAAATGGATTGACATATCTCACAGTTTTAAGACTAAAATGAGAACATGCATATGAAGTTCTTAGGATAAAATTATTGTAATTTATAATCTCAGGGTTTAATGATATCAGATGCATAGCACCAGACTTTTCCTCTGGTCATTATTGGAAAAGGCAGAGCCGTTTCAATATAGGGACATTGGGTTTGGACCCTTGTGTATGGCCGTTTTGAATTTGGAGTGTTTTGACACAGCTTTTACCAAGAAATCACTAAACTTTCCTCTTTTTTAAAGACTGCCAAGTAGTATTGAAATAGGTGTCTTCACTGTTTGATCCCTAAACATCTTCCCTCTGATAGGTCCCAGGTTGGAGGTGAGAGGTAGGGGTGAGGCTCAGGGGTGGGATTAGGATTCCAGGACAGCTCAGGGTGAGAGAAGGAGTGAGAATCTGGGATGAGATGAGGACAAGGGTGTGGTAAGGATTAGGGTTGCTTTAGAGCCAGAGAGAGGGCAAGGTCAGAAATGGAGGAGGATCAGGACCCGGCACATTCATAACCCAATTTGTTCTAAACTGAAGTTGTGTCCAAATATTCTGGCTTAACTGGGGAAAGACCAAGAGGCTGAAATACTATAGAGGAATGCCATGAATGAGTGTGTGTTCCAGGTTTACATCCTGGCATTCCCTAGTGCTCTGACTTTAACTTTCCTAACCTTAGTTTATTTTCTGTAAAATAGGGATGATTCTTCCTACTTCATTGTTTTGTTGTTAGAATTAAAGAAGAAAATCCTTGCCAAGTACCATGGTATAGTTTTCTCCCTTTGACCTAAAATTGTAAGCCCTGAGGTCTTTTTGACCTAAAAGGCCTTTTAAAGAAGGTGAATGTATCCCTGAAAGATGTGTCTCAGACAGCTGTTACCTGGGACTTTTTATCCGAATTCAGAAAGAATGCTGATTCCTCTAAGGATGCCTTGCACTTTTGAGCCATAAAGCATGTGGTTAACATATAAACCTTTAATTTAAAATGAAGAGTGTTTTTATTATAGATTTCAGAAGTGATGGTGCTATAGGATGCAGGGAGTCTTGCTTAAATAATGTTTTACACTTGTACAGTAGTTGCTTCCCACCTAGACACCCTTTGGTTTCTTTGGAAACCTGTTCTTGCTTGCTAGTTAACCTGCTTCCAGCAACATGTCCACTTTTAATGAGACCCTTTCCCCTCTTCTAATTTGATCCCTGGCAGGACCTTATAAATCCTTTAAATAACTTTTAGATTAGGTAGCATTTTGCTCCTTCTCTCTCACTTTCATTTGTCTTTGTGAGTAATTCAGAAACTCTCAGCTACCTACATCTCATATCCTAGATGGGAGCGGGCGGTAGAGTTTTCTAGTTTCCAGGCCATGTCTTCTCTTGAAGCACTACACTCCGTGTTTTGGTGTAAACTGTAATGGTTTATGAAGCAATTCCAGGTCACTTGTCTATGTGTTATTTCTGCCATCACGATAGTAGAGAAAAGTAAACTGAGGCATTGGTAGGCAAGCAATGTGGGTAAGAAAACACATTTTCCAATTAATTGTTTATTCTTTTCAGTACATTATAATGTGCTGTTAATTCAAACCTTACTTCCCCTACAAGAATGGGTTGGGAAGGGAAGAGGGCATTGTAGTCCAGTGCAGAAGGTCATTTGCTCCCTCTTTGTCCAACCTGCAAGAGATAATTTTCTTTTGCCCAGCCATGCCAAAATGAACGCCATCTTCAACTTTCTAGTAATTTCCTAACACTGAGCTCTGACTCAGTTGAACACTCTGTTTACTGTGCCACTGTACATAGATTATTAAATGTGATTATTATTCCCCTTAGTTTTTTGTCCCATGATGTGGTAAATTTTACCATTGGGTTTAGGACATTATGGTTTGAATTTATGGATTGTGAAAAAATTTCAGTGGTGAAAACCTATTTTAGATTGAGAGGCAGTGAAATATCCAAGATATACAACAGGTTGGGAGCTATGGGAGAGGTGAAAGATGTGGTATCTAAAATACCCAGGAACGGCTTAAATAGACAAGTGCCCATATTCCTATACGCTTGTGTGTGCAAGCATGTGGGGTTTTAACCCCAACTTACTAGGGTTATTTTATTCCAGTCTTTGAAAATTTAGTTTCTTTACAGGATTTCTAATATTAAAACTGTCTATAATGAAGTTTTTTTTTTTTAGTGTTTTTAAAACTTTCCCTTTCAATGTCTTATTGCTTGTATAGCTGTCAAAGTGTGACCCTGTATTTACTTAGGGAGAGGAAATGACTCCTCTCCATAGAGCATGTCTGAAAAATCCCGCTGATCTGCTCCTGGGGTGATTCTGTAGGTGTGCACGTGGCCGCCCATCTGGTGAATGCCCTCAACTTCTCAGTGAACTACAGTGAGGATTTCGTTGAACTGAATGCAGCCAGATACCGAGATGAGGTGGGTGGTCTCTGTCTTCTCATTTTCCTGTCACTTGTCCTGAGATGACTAATGAAGGGCTGTGATTTTCACAGAAAATTTGTACCTTGCTGCTCCTTTTGAGTGCTTTTAAAATACAGTTGTCAAGTTGAATTTTATTCCTTTTCAATAGAAAATATAGGTAATTATTATTTCACAGTCTCTCCTGCTGAAAATAGGAGTTCAGAGAATATCTGATTTTCATATCCTGCAATGTTCAGATAGTTGCCACTCAGGCCTGCCTTCTGCCTCCCAATGGCTTTTGTTGAATTTCTGCCATGCAGTGGCGACTGGGGACAGTGCCATTATGGTAAAAATCGTCTAAAAATTTAGATGCTGTGCTTGGCGGGAAAGGGCAGAAAAGCAGGTTGATTATTTGAGGATCCTGGATAATCAGTTTATTTGACTTATAAAACATTACTGAATTTTAATGGTTCATTCTTTTTTGTTTTGTTGTAGTTTAATCCTTGAAATAGGTGAGCTTGAGCTGAATTCTGTAGTAGGCAATACCTGGTTTAGGGGTGCTTTTCTTCACAAAAGCTGCCTGTGAAATGAAACAGGTGTGGGGTTCTGGGCCAGAGCCTGAAGAACAGAAACTGTACAATGCGGGGCAGATCTCTGTGGCTCGGTCCTTTCCTCCTGTCCTCAGGCAGCCTTTGCTTCACACCAAGACCGCATCAGAACTGAACCGCTCAGCATCTCGTTTGATCAGACCCCACCCTGTTCTACTAAATGCGGTAGTGACTTGCTAAGATTGTTCCGCATTTTCCCCAACTCCATTTTCTCTTCCACCTATCACGAGAATTATCTACATTAATTCTGGGTTCACATGTTTGACCTCCCTCTCAAAACAAAACAAAGGAAAAGGTAACAGCAAAAATAGAAACAAATTACAAAATTAAAATAGCAAACAGCCTTTGATGAGTATTTTGACTATACTAATATTAAAAAAAATTTCTTAAATCCACCAGTGTGATTTAATCAGTCTGGGTTGGGTGGGGAGGTGAGACACTGGTATTTTTAAAAAGCTTTCCAGGTAATTATAGCATGTACCCAGCATTAAGAACCACTGAAAAGTCCACCTTCTTGGCATACCAATGGAAACTCCTCATATGGAATTGTTTCAGACTTCTCTATTTTCCCACACTTTCCCCATTCCTCTGTAGGAAAAAATGGAATTATTTGTTTCCTATTCCTGCCATGCAGAGTCCGTTTTCATTTTTTTCTTCTTTGCTTCTCTCCTTTGTTTTATAGTTCATATGCCTTTAATACTTTTGCTTAATATTCCTATATTTTTAGTCATTTTAGGGTACTTGATTATTTCATTTCCTTCTGTGAGGGATATGCTGAAAGTTTGTAAAATATATGCAAATATTTAAAAACTCTCAAGTAGATGAAGATTAAAAGTAAAGCTTCTCCAAAATTAGCCACAGTTAACAATCTTATGTTTTCTGATAAGATATTTGAGTGGTGTTTTATGATACATATTCCTTAGCAGTTTACATGTTTCCATAAATATATGTATTGGGGCTGGCTGTATCAGAAAGTATAGGTCTGTCTATCCTCTTCATATTAACGTGCTATAATTCACTTTCAGTCTTTCCCTTATTCACAGTTGTTTAGGTTGATTCCAAGGTTTCTTATGAGACACACTCCAATAAATTAATGTTTTTGTACACTTGTACTAATCACAGAAGTAGAATTTTGGTTTTGAAGAAATGCACATTATTAGTTTTGATGGACATTGACAAATAGTCTTCCAAAAAAGCCTTCACCAGTTGACACACTAAACTTCTCAGAATGCTTATTCATACTTCCTTTTTTTTTTTTCCAATCTGATGGATGAAAAACGGGTAACTCGTTTTTTAGTTTATATTTCCCATTTCTTTCATTCCTTACTTTTCCCCTCAACCTTTTCTTTCTTTTAATAAATATTTTTGAGCACTACCAAGTACCAGGCACTGTGCTAGGTAAAAATGAAAACCCATGTGGACACACACACATATTGCATACATAAACAAATATATTATCCTGTGAATTCTCTTTGAAGAAGATGGGTTTGTTTCGAGCCCCTAATTGTGCTTGCTTTATGCTTGCACTCCACTTTCTCCGGATGACCAATGACCCATGGTCAGCTTGTGATGGCTGCATGTTCTTGATGGCCTAGGGGAATCTGCCTCATCTGTCATCTGTGAAACTCTCTCTTACTTTCATATTCCATCTTCATTTCCTGGCAATAGTAATTATTCCAACTTCTGAGTTTCCATAGCTCTTTATTCCTATTTCCGGTATGACCACTTTGTTCAGCCCATCTTCTATTTTTACTAGTTGTTTATGTATAAGGTTGTGCTAGGTTACTCCTTAGCCACGTTTCTAATAGCAAGGATAGAAGTAATTTGACCTGAGTTGGGTAGGAAACTGTTCCTGGGCAAGTGGTCCTTATTCAAGGCTCCCTAAATGATATCCCACTTTATATATAGCTTGGCCTGACCCGAGATTCAATGGAGTCACGAGGAAAAGAAATAAAAAGTTGTGCAATACTGAGCACCATTAGGATGAAAAATAAACCCACAAATCTATTGGGGAATGATCTAAGTTTTCCAGAAGGAAGGGAGTTGACTAAGGCTCATTACACCATGAGAGATGAAAATAGAGGAAATAATACACTAACAGCATTAATGTTTTATATTTCTGAGTAAAAGGGACCTATCTTCCTTTGAGTATTGAAGGATGTTACTTCACAGTATTTGACTCACTACTTTCACAGTATTTAAAACACTGTAAGCTCTCAATTCATATTCTTTGCACTGAATTTACAGTGTACAAACCCTCCTCCATATTTTATCATTGTTTTTTTTCACTGTCTTGACATCTTCTTGGTGCAGTTTGGCATTTGTAGTAGACAAAGTATATATTGATATTTCTATGTTATAGCCAAAGGTACTGAGTCTCAAAATGGTCAAAGGGTGGGTTTCAGGCCACTGCCACTAGCTTGTAATTAGCCACTTGGATGAGAGAGTATGCTTATGACTCCTTACTCTGTTCTCCTTCTTTCTCAGATGGATAGACTTCTCTAAGGTGGATTTTGCTTGTTATAATTCCCTTTAGTTTCATGAAAACTTTATGAAACTTAAGTGAGTTTCTCTTATTTCCCCTGGGAGAACAGTATCTTCAATGCCTAATACATGGATATCCTACCCAGCAGACTCCTTGTAGAATTTTATATTCTCCATGTTTCCCTCTTCAGTCAAAAAGATTTTTTTTCTTTTTTCTCAGGATCCTAGAAAACTTCTCTTCACCACTGGTAAGTTGTTATTCATTGTGCTTTCTAAGGATGCAAGAATATCTGATGAAAATAAGCATCATCAAATGACACATTGATTAGATATATGTTAAGATAACACATGTGGAAAATTTGCATATCAGAATAAATATTAGGAGTTTAAACACAAGGTGCAATGAAAATAGAGTTGGACAAGGCAAACAGTTGGGGCTGGAATGAAGAGTAAACGTAGGTAAGTGTGTTTGCACTTTGTGTGCTCTTCCGATGAAAACAGTATAATGCTGGCAGCTTATGAGGATCTGCTTTGTGCCACTGCTGTGTCAAGTACTACTGGAGATAACACCCATGGAGTAGATTCCTGCCTCAAAGTTTTAAAGAAACACCATGTACTCTGAGTATGTACTTCTAATTCTAATGTCATTTGGTAGGATATTATTGGCATAAAACCAATACATAAAAATGGAGAAACGGTCATGAAAATCAGTCACTTTTCTTGAAATGTATCTTTTTTCATTTGTAATTTACTTTCCCTTCTCAAGCCTATTGTCCGTGGAATCTCAGGGAAGACTATTAATTTGTCAAAGCACCTTTGAACATCTTGAAATTTTGCCCTAATGTTAGTATAATTCTTACTAAAATTCTTCTCTTTCTCAACCTTACATTTATAATGATGAAGGCATAAAACTGTATTTGGGGAATTTTTAGCACATATTTCAGGGGTAAGGATGACTGGGTAGTTGAGATGATCTATCTTAAAGGTTTGGCTGTAACACCTGATAAGGATCAGAATTAAATGTGGGACTGAGGCATAGCCTTATCAAATGTATTTTTTCTTTTCGATCAATTTTATGATGAAAAACAACAATGATTCTGGTGGTTTCCCCTTCCTTGTCACAATTCTGTATTTAGATTTATAAAAAAAAATTTTCTGCATGTAGTTGTATGATATTTATGATATTTATTACTTGCAGTATTTCACAGCTTTCTTTTCAGGAACACATTTTAGTTTTGTGTACAGCTTTGCTCATTGGAAACATGTTGTTATTTAAGCCTTAAGAATTGGATGAGAAATAGAAGGGAGAAAAAGCAGAAAAAAAAAATCTTATGTATGAATCAATCTATTTTTTGATTCATGTGAATTAATTTAAAAGACATAATCAAGAGCGTTGTTTTCATAGTATTTTCTATTTTATGAATATTTATATTTGAAGCCTTGGAATAGCTGAAGCCTTGGAATATTTGAAATCATTAAAAAAGTTTAGCTTACAAAGATATAAAAAGATTTCTTATATGACAGAGATATTACAGTTGACCCTTGAACAGTGCAGAAGTTAGGGACACAACCCTAGGAAGTTGAAAATCCATGTATAACTTTTGACTCCCACAAAACTTAACTACTAAGAGCCTACTGTTGGCCAGAAGCCTTACTAATAACATAAACAGTTGATTAACACATAATTTATGTTATATGCATTATATATTGTGCTCTTACAATAAAGTAAGCTAGAGCAAAGAAAATGCATCTTTTAAATTGTCACAAATCTCCAAAAAATTTTCCAGTATATTTATTGGAATAAATCTGTGTATAAGTGGACCCATCAGTTCAAATCCATTTTCCAAGGGTCAACTTGTACTTTCAGAAATTTTGTATAATTAATAGTTTTATATAAGCAAGTAATCTGTCGACCTAGCATGAAACTTCATCCCCCTATGTTCTTTCTCAGAGGTTTCCAAGAGTGGTGTTGGACCAAGTAAAGACCCCCAAATTTCCTGTCTCTATCCTAGAAAGTTCCTGGGGTGAGAGACCTGACAATGTGTTTTATTAACCTTCCCATGTACCTCAGGAGCTTCTGTTTTATCCTTACCGAGCATCTCATTACACTTTTGTAATTCACTTCACCTATCTTTTGCCTACTCTCAGAGCCTACGCTTATTTCCACCTGGTCAACTCCTGTTCATCCTCTGAGTCTCAGCTGACATGCCCCATTATTTACAAATTCCTCCCTAATTCCAGAAGCAGAGCTGGTCACTTCTTGGCTTGGGTTCCTAAAGATACATCATTCTGTCAATACAGACAACTTCCATTTCCCCAAATCAGCATGTCAGTATCATTTGGGTGGCCCAGTCTACATTGTTTCATGAAATGAATTCTGTGCTGACCAGCAGGGACTACCCGATTTCCAGGTTTTCACCTGGACATGGTATCCCTTAAATATGAGTCTAGAGCTCCTAGGGCATCTGACTTCCCCCACTGAGTAGTAGCAGATGAGAAAACCCAACAGAATCTAAGGAGGGTAAAGGGATGAGTGACACTTTTTTACAAATAGACTGAACCTAGGTTTGTATTACTTATACATCTCTGACTGAAGATATTTCATACCTGTCTTTGAATGTCACCAGGCAGAGTGCCTAGGAAAAGTTAAGCTCCTGATGAAGGAATGTGTGCATGTTTTTAGGTGTTCTAATCATAAAGAATATTTTTTATTCATTGTTTATTTCTTGTATTTTAGTTTGTTTAGTGTTATGTAGGGTTTTCCCTTTCTCTGTCTGTAAGTTTTCCATGTAACCTAAGACTGAGAAATGAAGATTATCTTACAGAAAATGAAGCCAGTTGCCATACAAGTGATGTAAAATATGGCAGTTAGACTCACTAAATACGAAATATTAAAAACATTCCAGTTAATAATTTACAGAACAAAATAAGTTTAAGAGATGGAATTATTCATTTATTTAAAAATGTTTACTACATATTTCCAAATTTGGTAGTGCCTTCTACGATGAGAATAAAATGCACAATCTGTGATTTCATCTAGAAAAACATTCATAAACAAATACAGTTATGTTTCCAGTTATGTTGGAAACAACAGGATAATGAATGCAAGATGGTGTATTTCTGACCACATCTGGGTATGAAAACAGTCTCTCAGTTTCATCTAGAAATGGCAGTATAGTGCAGTCACTCATTTTAAAGGCTATGTTTGTGAATCTAATATGCACAGATAAAAAGCAGTAAGAATAAACATGTAAGCATGTCTTTTCCTAAGGAAACATGCATAGGTTTTGTTTGATACCGTGTAAGACTCCAAAACTTCACAGTGCCGTGTATATCACTTTGCCTCATGAATTTAGACTAGCCCAATAATTGCCAACCTGTCCTTCCTGACTCTTGGAATATGTGTGCTTATAGAGGCTAACACAGTAGGACTTAGCTTAGCTGTCCGTTAAGGCTAGGTTAGCATGCCCTTTGATGTACCTTGAAAACATTCAATGCTTAGCTGTCTTTTAGCTCTTAATGCCCTGTATTTCAATTGCCTGCTTATCCTGTCTGTCTCCCACATTGGCCTGCTATTTCTTTTAGAGCAGGACTCATTTTTTTATTGCACTCAGCAGTACACCAAAGATGCCCAGAAAATATTTTCTGAAGAAATAAAATCCATTTGTTTAACTCTATTACTTGATGCAGAGTTCTTCTCTACAACATCCAGAGAATTGGTTAGCCAGGCCCTTTGCTTAATTCCAGTGACAGAAAAATCATAGCTTCTTAAGGTATCCCCCAACCGTTTTTTTTTGGAACACTCTAATAATTTTTTTCCTTTTCTTGCTAATTATCAGTAAGTTTTCCTTTTCACTGATCTGACATCTATTACTTTGTAAATAAAACTCTGATGTTTTTATATTTCTGGGAGGTAGAAAGGAAATTAGTTATTTGAATAAAAAAGATAACGTTATAAATCTGAAAACACATTTAAAAGCATTGAATTAATTCTCCTTAATTTAGAGATGAAGTTGAGTGACACTGGGCTTTGGCCTACGGGACATCAATTTATTAATGTAATTCTAGAATATACAGACCACTGGTCAGGTTGTCTAGGATTTCTGCCTCGTCCTCAAATGACTGGCATCAACTCTTTGCTCTCCCTGCCCCCACAGTCTTTCCAATATGTTTTCATGTTCTGCTCCAAAAGAAGTTCTGTAACTTAATGTTTAAAAAAAGTATATGTTCAAATTTAAACTTGTTTCTTGACTTTAGTACTTCTCTGAAACTTTAATACACTAATGTGTCCTGTGCTTTTCCAAGGAAAGATTATAGCATTTTGTGGTGATATATATGGTGATTGAAATTAATATCTCAAGGAATTCATGTTTTTTTTTTTTTGGAAATGTGCCTCTATTCTACATATACTAAATTAATGTTCACATTTTGGAAATTATGCCTCTATTCTAAATACACTCAGTTTTCTCAGGCGTCCTTCTCATGAAGTGATTTGCAAGCATTCCATAACTAATTTTGGCATGTTTAGAAGCACATAGGAAACCTCGTATATAGACAGAGACACACTAGACATTAATGAAACCCCAGTAAAATTATTGGAAAGGGCTCACCAACCACAAATTTCACTTTATGGAGCCATTTATTATTCTAGACAGTGAAGCCCAAGATAAATTATTTAAAATTGAAACTGAAGGAGCTACTAGTTCTATAAAAGGGGGGAGGAAAGAGTGAGGGAGCTGTAGGATTATGGGGAAGAAAACCAAAATAGTAAGGGTGCCGAATATCAACCCTGTCCCATTATATTCATTATGAACATTCGGCGTAGTATGTACCTGTACAAGCATGTACATAGTCACCCTTCTGAGTGGATTATTTGAAAAGACAAAAATGAACCCTTCTGTTAAGAGTAGAAAAGATTCTGCTTTGTCTTAAGTACTTTGAAACTGTGGGCTGATTAAAAAAAGCCTTTTCTGAGAAGGAAAATGTACAAGGAGCTGTGCGCTTTGACTCGGGCTCCCCACAGAGCCGCACAGCGCTTTGAATTGTAAGGTCATGATTTTTTGTACTCTTCTCTCAGTGTGACCTAAGTTGAAATGTACTTGCGCACATTTTTATAGTTCCTGGCGTGACGGGGGTCGGCATGGTGCTGGTGTTGTTCCTGATGGCTACAGCCTCTACATACGCCATCCGGTGAGTGTCGAAGTCATTATTTCCACGTTCACTGGTCACATTATTTAGACATCTTCAGATTATCTTCATTGTCATATGTAGGAAACAGTCTTGACCAACCAGGATGCTTAACCAAGGCACTATTCTGGGTAACTGAGAACGAAGCAGAGACGTATCTGTATATTATTTTCTGTTTTTGAAAAGATCTTTGTTGTAGTCAAATAATATTCTGGATTGATAGGAATCTGTATGAAGACTCGATGACTAAGGAAATTCGAATTCTTCAGGGTCACCCTGCTGAAGAATAGTGTATCTCTATGGGACATGGGATCACATCCAATGTGGATGCCCAGGAATATACCATCTAAAATTATTTTATAACTCATTTCCTGGTGTGAGGTTGTTTTGCTGTCATTAATGTAGTATTCCAAACAAAGGTTTGGAAACGTGGTTAATTGACACCTGCTAAAGTAATCAGAAATATCTGTACTCACACTTAGTCTCCTGGTTAAGAGATTTTGAGCAGCGGCAGATATCCAATTTCACGCCCATTCTCACGTGTTCTTTCTAGTGGATAGGTTCTGTTTTTCACAGTGTTTTACAGTGTCTTTTGTTTCTGGTCAGACTTTTTGGTTAAGAAAGCAAGAAGAAGAAACAATATATCATCTTCAAAAATCCTGATTCTGCCTGTTGAGATGTGAAATTTAATGGAGATATATGCATGCACACACACACTTTGAAAATAATTGTGCGAATACATATTCAAATGAGTCTATCCTTACACCTCTGAACACATCTGTACATACATGCACACTCCCCAAAACCTCACAACTAAGCCCATTGCTCAGAGACCAACACTGAAACTTTCTGGTGCTTACAGATGTGACCCTTCTTGCCCTTTGCTTACTCGTTCCCTATTCTCTGTGTCCACCAGAATCACTCTATTTATCTCCCTTTCCCACTCCTGCCCTCTCTCTCTCTCCCTCTCTCTCTCTCTTCATGTATATATGTATTTTACAAATAGAGTCATACTATACATACTATTCTAAATCTGTTTTTTACTTAAATCTGCCCTATGAACATTTTTCCACATTAATAAATATTTCTCTATCATTCTCTTTGCTGATGGCACAGCGTATCACAAAATAAATATGTTACTTTCTCAGGGCCCTACTGTGGGATGTCTTAGGTTGATTTCATTTTATCAGTGTTTTAATTTGAAAACAAACACTCCCATCCATATGTCTTTGCACACTTTTTCCCTTATGTCCTAAGGAAAAATATCTAGATGTAGAATGGCTGGAACCAATGGTAACCACACTGTCCATAAGAATTGAAAATCACCTTACCAAAAGGCAAATCTTTGACCTTAGTGTATGAATGTGCCAATTTTGTGGGGATAAATTTTATTTGAGTTAGGTAATGCATTCATAAAAAAACTTACTTTGTTTAATTTGAAGAGTTCTTGAAGGAAAATTAGGGCATCTGAAATATTTATTTACAAGATTGAAGATTATAAATGTTCTACATTAAAAAAAATCTTTGAGAAATAGTTTTATAACATGGAGCATAAAGATCAGCTTTTGTTCTCAACTGAGCCATTGTACAATTTAGTGAACATCTCTCAAGCTTCAGTTTTTCTCAATTGTTTAAAGGAAGTTATAAAGACCAAATTTGCTTTCCTCCAAGTTTCATTGTGAGAATCATGGAATTCTTAAATGGATCATGGAGATAATTTTTTTCTACCCTTTCTCTTTGGCAGTGAGGAAATAAAGTATTAGAGAAATTAAGTGAGTAAACATGATGCCAATGTTTGACTTGTGGTAGTTGACTATATAGACTAGTAATTTACCAGTGGTTCAGTATGGGTCAGTCTATTAACAAATGACAGGAATACAAACCTATTTTCATCTGAATAGGTTTTAAAATGGCAGCTATTGAATCTGAACTCTAATGCTGCATTAAAAGAATCAAAGTAGGAATTAATTTCTTTCATAGAATTAAAAAATGTAAATCCAGAACTGAAATCATACTTACAATTGAAACATGAGATACATTCCTAAGAAAGTTATAAGAAACCAAAGTGATATATTTAATTCTACCATTGTTTACACATGGTCAGAAATGAAAAAGAATGGGACAACATTTATCATTATTTCCAGAATGATATAATTGTCTAGCTAGGAAATCCAAGGGAATTATAGAAAACATTAGTGTTATACCAAATAAAAGAGTTAAAATAGGTAAATGAGTACAAAACAGATATTAAAAAATAGCTCTCTAATATAATCACTATTATCAGTTAGAAAGTTGAATAAAATAAAAAGATACCACTCACCATTGCAGGAAACTCATAAAATATTTAGGAATAAACAAGAAACTAGGTGAAAGCTATAGTGAAAAAAACAGATCTTCAGTGAAGAAAGTAAGTAGAAACTGGAATAAAGGCTGTCTACTGCAAAGATGGAGTTCTTCCTCATCAATTTATAGGTTTATTGCAATTCCAGTCAACATCCCAAGATAGCTTATTTTGTTTGTGTTTTGAATTTAGCAAAGTGATTCTCAATTTCATCTGAGGGAACGTCCAGGTTCCAAAAGTGGAGTAAACGGGAGAACATGGCTCACTAAACATTAAAATGATTGAGCTTCAGTAACTTAAAACAGGATAGGACTGACTTGCAGAAATGACCAAGACATTGAACCCAATGACAGAGTTGATAGAAAGCCCTGTAAGAGACGTTATTGTATGTAAGACCCTGTTAAGTAATGAAGGTGTCATTACAAACTTATAAGGACACTAAGGCTTCAGTGGATGAAATTCTAGATAAATTAAAAAGTTAACTTTAAAAAAATTTCTACCAATAAATATTTAGAAGAAACTCTAAGAGGATATTTATCAGATCTCATAATGGACAAGAGAAAATACAGGAAATATTTGACAGTCTAAAAATATGAAACACGAAACTTATGCATGTCAGTATACATTATAAAAATTGAAAAGTAACTATGTTATTGGGAAAATTATTATAATTGTATGGAACTAGTACATTCTTAAATTTTGATTACAGACAAGAGAACTATGTCATAGAAATGGGTAATTATTATGAACAGATAAGTCACAAAAGAATTAAAAATAAAAAATTAAAAGAATTAAACAATGAAATAATACCCAATCCCACATATACAAATATAATGAAAACTTATGAAGAGGAGTCTGGGTTTGTGAAACAGGCATTCCTGCTCTGTGGTTGGGTTTGTAATTGATAAACATGTTTTCAGAGAGCAATGGGTAGTGTGTATCAAAAGCATTACAAACGTATGCCCTTTGATATAATAATTCCACATACAGGAATTTACATTTAAAAAGAATAAGATATGTGCAAAACCTCGTGTGTTACAAGGATCTTCAATGATCTTGTTTATAACAACAAAAACTGAATGGAGTACATGTGAATTCACTGGCTGTTACTTACCAAGGATTCTGAAAGTTCTATGGGTCCTATCAGAATCTTCTAAGAAGGTTTTACAAATACCTGCCCTCCACTTCCAAGATTCTCTTGTATTAATATCCATCCAGATAGGTGAAATAAAGTAACTGTTAGTCTTTTTTTACTTTTCACAAACATTCTGTAGGGTGTGCTTATCATAACCCTTCCTATTCAGACTCTTTGTCCTCCCCCAGGACAATAACACTAAGATGTTCTTTTAAGTTATATACTGTCTAGGTCAGAATTTAGAACTTTAATGAGCATTTACTTAACTTTTCTCAGTTGTAGTTTCCTTTGAACTACTCTCAAAATATATTGGTATAGGGCTGTTAGTTGTTTTAGAAATCATTTGAAAATTGAGAATGTTGATAAAAAGCACAGCAAATGTAGATATTCTCAGACTATTGCCTGCTCCTTAGCCTTCCATCATAATAGTTTTAAAATAAACACCTTTGAGGTATTTAATTCTTTCCATGTATCTTTATTTAAAATGAAGGAACCTTTAAAATGATAAAGTGTTACTTATGATTTGGGTCAGTTCTCTCTGCATGGTATGCTCATACTTTTATATTAACAGATAAATCTCACATGAACTCATACTTTAACTTCTGTGACATATACTTGAAATGATGCATGATCTTTTTAGTGAGATGGAATGTAGACTGGCATTGAAACCAAGTTATTTGTTTTTTCAGAGTTTCTAACTATGACATCTTCTGGTATACTCATAATCTCTTCTTTGTCTTCTACATGCTGCTGATGTTGCATGTTTCAGGGTAAGTTTTAAAAACACATTTTTAAAACCATGTGTGACTGAAAATGGGGCAAGGAGAGATAAATCAATAGGCATTTTCGTAGGAAGTGATACATTTATTTGGTTCCTTGTAGTTGACAGTAGTATCAAGAATGGAAGAAATGGTTCTGTCTTTAGCATAGCATGTTTTAGGAAGCTAATATAAAAATATATTAAAATTGAAAGACAGAGTTACTTCTCCCCCAGTGTTTTAGCTTTTAAAGCCCCCTATAGATATATCCTGATAATCTCTGAAAAAAGTAAGAAGTGAAGAACTTCAGGAAGATTTTTTAGTGTTTGTATTCCTTATGTCTTGCTGCAGCAGAATTAGTAACAATGGAATAAACAGTTTTTAATTTAAAAATGGCCTCAAAGTAATAATAACTGCAGAAAAAGCCAAATTTATAATGACCATAGATAAGGATCTGTCAAAAACATCAGAAAATCACAAGAGGAAAAAAGAAAGCATCCAAGCGTATTGCAAAGAATATACCCAAAATATTCTGGAAGGATGTAAGCCCAAGCAGTGTACTCAAAAGTATGGTGGCTAAAATAATCCACTAGGTTAGAGGAAGGAAATAATATGTTTTTGCATATGCATACATTTGCATAATCACTGGAGTGGACTGATAGTTTTGTCTTGACACTCACACTAAGGTGATACAAGAGGCCATTGTCTGGCATCAGGATTCAGCAGAAGAGGACAGGACAGGGAACATAAAATGTCAATAGGATAATGTCAGGTGCTTTGTCACTGTGAGTCCCTCTAGTTGTTCAGGAACCATTTCCATCCCCTCTCCCTTCCCTTCCTTCTAGTAACTCAGTTTTAAAATGAGGAAACCATATGGTGGGCATGGACCTCCTTGCCTTGGGTGAGGCTCGTGTTCCACAGGAAGCACTAACTTGGTAACAGCCCAGGTCTCCTCAAGGGATGTCCTCAGCACAAGGGAAGCTGAAGTCTGTGAGTCTTAAAATGATGTTATAGTTTACTCATAGTCCTCCCGGTTCAGATGCCTTCCACCAATAATAAACATTGTTGCCTGGTAACACAGCTGGCATTCCCAAAATGTTTCCAGGGAAACAGGAATTGGAAAAAGGTTCAGACCTGCTGTGAGTACTTTCCTCAGAATGTTTTATAATGTACTTTTTCAGTACGGTAGGTCATATACATAAATTACATATTTATTTCAGGGTACATGTTCTAAATGTTGGGTTTTTTTTCCCCTTCATTTTGGAGACCTCTGGTCTAGACAGCAGAATTATATGGTCCTCTGTCTCATATGTCCTTGTTCAATTTGTTATGTACCATCGTTCTAGAACATATGGTTATAGAGCATCAGAAACATGGCCACACACTATAATCCCAACTTCCAGCTGCCATTCCTGCCACACGGGAAAGAGGGCCAGGGTCAGTGAAAACTGTGAGTTCTGTTTCTTTTCCCTCTGTGGGGGTAACACATTCTGTGGAGCATTAGGACACCAAGAAAGCCCTTTGTAGAGAAAATCTGTTTTACTTCTATTCCTTAAATGACTGTTTTGCCTGTCCAGGGCTGTTATAAAATGGATTATGAGTAAGCAGATGCTACTTATGATAATAACAGTAATTTAAAACAATTACTTAATGCTTACTATGTGCCAAGTATAAATTCAAAATGATTTAGATGTTTTATGTCATTAAAGGATCACAATTTTATAAAGATAATAAGCTAAATTCCCTTTACAGATGGGAAAACTGAGGTTTAGAGAAAGTAAGTAACTTGCTAAAGTTTACTTAACTGATGGATCCTGGATTCAAATCCAGGAATTTTGATTCAAAAGCTTCCGTTTTTTAGCACAAGCCTCTATTACTTTGGAGAGCTCTCTACTTCTGTTCATTTGGTCTTAAGATTTCTTTAGAAGATTAATGTCTTTATTTGTGTGTGATTCTGATCTCTCTGTCTTTCTTCCTCTCATCCATCTATCTATAACAAATAAGAGAAAAAGACAATCATTTGTTAGTATAATTAATTATGCATTCTTTTGCCTTTATCTTCTTTTAAATTAAAACTGAAAGAATGTTTCTTTTTAATTCAAAATAGTCATTTTTTTTAAAGGTTCAGAAGTTCAAACAGACTTCTTAAGCTTAAAGAGGATTATATGAGTTTTCTCTATCATTTTCTTTCTGAAATTAAAAGGCATATTAAAATTTTTATTTTTCTTCTGTAGAACAAAAGTCTTGTAAAGAGGAAGTGACTTTAATTTATACAAAGAAATAACAAAAGGCATCTACGGGATGAATTATATATAATCGATCTATTAAACCAAATGAATTAGTAGTTCTTTATGTATTTTCAGTAGAAGTGAGGAAAACAATTACTCTAATACTGAAATAAATGTCATGCAACAAATACACAACACTATAAGCATTCTATAATATACTTTATCTATGAAGTTTAACTTTTAAATTGAAATACAACTGACAAATAAAGATACGTATATTTAAAGCATACAATATGATGATATATGTATACGTTGTGAAGTGATTACCACAATCATGTGAATTGACACAACCCTCACTTCACATAGTTACCTTTTTTTTTCCTGGTGAGAATGTTTAAGATCTACTCTCAGCAAAATTTGGATATGAAATACAGTGTTATTAACTGTATTACTATGCTGTTCATTAGTTCTTCAGAATTTATTCATCTTAGAACTAAGAGTTTATAACCCTGTGAACTCTGTGTAATCCTTGGTTAGAAGCCCTATAAGTTTATAACCCTTTAATTTTGGGTGAAGCTACATAGATTGTGCTTCTAGTGCAGGAAAATTACTACTTATACATTTTACAGCTTTCTCAAAATGTTCTTTTTTATTGCTAAAGGATCTGTCTAGAAGCAAATGTGTTGAAATTATTATCATTTGTGCCAACATTGAGAACTTCGAAATATCTTTACTTGTGAAATACCTTGTTAATTTCATTCTCTACTTTTTGGTTATACAAGTACAGTGCAGTTATTCAAAACATGTTTCTTGGGTTGGTAATGACAGTTCTGTTAAACAGTGTGCTTGAAGTTTGAACCGAATATCACTATTTGCCAGATATTTATTCTCTCTCCATCAATGTGCTAAGTACTGTAGTAATGTATAGAAGAACAATATACTATATGATCTTTACTCTTCCAGCATTAATAATTAGTTTGGAAAATAAAATAAAAAATCAGTTGAAAGCACTAGAGATAATTTTAGATTGCATATTTTTGAAGCATAAACATCTTTCATTTTTAAGAATTCTAGTAGTTCAGAGGTTGGAAAGATCAATGGGGCTAGAAATTTTAGAAAACTTTAGGCTTCAAGGATGAAGCCATTAGACATTGTTGACTGGTTTCTCTAACTAAGCTGTAAGAGGAGCAATTACGTCATATGATTTTCTAAGGTCATTTTATTTTCTTAGAATCTCAAATTTTAAAGACAGCTCAAAAGATATATTGACCAAGACTCTTTGAGTCCCCCCCCACCCACAATCTAATTATTCTTCTATCCAGCGATCTAAAAGCGTATGACTCTGGAGACTATGGAAATTAAGTTCTTCTCCTTCTCTAAATTTTGTTCATCTGTTCCTTGCATGGTGATATTTCAAGATTCATCATCAGTCCAAACTTTCTCCTTTGAATAGTGATGGTTAATATTCATTGAGTACTTATCTTACTACCTTACTAATGTTTGAGCTCATTAAACCCTCCCAACAACTCTGGTGAGTTTGTGGTTGTTATTATTCCTGTTGTGCAGGGGAGAGAATAGGGGCAGTGAGAGGTGAAGTAATTTGCTTAAAAGTAGAAGAATTTGGGTTTGAAACCATGTACCACATTCCTAACCCCTAAATTATATTGGCTGCAGTCTGGCATGGCTCCCATGTATCCCTTCTAAAGCCAGAGACCAAACTAAATGCAGACCTCGTGGCATATGTGATCCAACCTTGGCAAAGTGGAAGTCTTACCTTCTTTACTCCAAATATTGCAATCAGTATTATGTAGGATCTCATTATCTTATTCCATAATTATCTATGCCCTTAGCTTAATCTAATTTTCATTCCTATTACCTATGTCTTTGATAGTTTTTCATTATTTATTGGCTAATCTATTGCATGACACTCTGAAAAACATGTTTCATATATCCTAAACTCAGATGTTTCTCTTCAGTGTTCAAATGGACCTCTAAAATACATTATTTTTTCTTTCCAAGAGGTCAGTACAGCATGGAAATTAAGAGCTACACACTTAATTGCTGTATAACCTTGCCAGATAATCTGTCCTTTTCCCCCTTATCTGTTAGATGGGATTAATGACATTACCTACATCATAGGGTTGTCCCAGGTGTAAATAAATGAATGCAGCAAGGTAGGCAGAATATAGACATATGTAACAAATGTTTGTAGGAAAAAATATAAACTTGTATCAACACTAATAGCTGTGTAAGGAAGAAATGATGCCTCTAACTGAAGAATCAGGTTTTTTTTTTAACAAAGATGTAGCACTTTTGAAAAGCCCAGATTTTCCTATCCATAAAAGAATTTGATGAACATAGAAAGAAAACTGCTTAGCAGATTAAAAGAATATTCCTTGAAAGGGCAACAATTTTTATAGCATTGTTAGGTCTCAAAAATTGAGTGGATTTTAACAATTAAGATTTATCTTGGAACTTGCAAGACAAGAAGTGGAAGTCTTACCTTCTTTACTCCAAATATTGCAATCAGTATTATGTAGGATCTCATTATCTTATTCCATAATTATCTATGCCCTTAGCTTAATCTAATTTTCATTCCTATTACCTATGTCTTTGATAGTTTTTCATTATTTATTGGCTAATCTATTGCATGACACTCTGAAAAACATGTTTCATATATCCTAAACTCAGATGTTTCTCTTCAGTGTTCAAATGGACCTCTAAAATACATTATTTTTTCTTTCCAAGAGGTCAGTACAGCATGGAAATTAAGAGCTACACACT